GTGGTTGTCTCATCAGGAATTATATAACCTATATGCATATTTTGTGCCACCAAATACAGGAAAAGATATTAATTGTGCAAGTCTGCTGTTTAAACTGGAACTTATTGGTCTCCTCAGTCCTGCACAGAAGGGTTAATATTTTAAATTCAAGAGTTTATTGTAAATTGCTCCATCTTAAAAATGCTTTTTGTTCATTTTAATTTAAAGTTGGTTATCATTCTTATTAAATGATTTTAAAATACAACTGGAATAAAAAAAAGATTGCAGAGAAGAATCCTCACCTTTTTTATATTGTTAGATGTATCTGTGAGTTATTTTTGAGACTAAAAAACAGCAAATATCATATGACCCTATCATATAGTTTGTTACTTCTTTATAACAAGGAAGTTGTAGTAGCTAGAGCTAGTAGCTACAACTATGATTTGTCAGGTTAATAATATTTTTGGCCTTACCTTTAGTAGTCTTTTGAGTTTAATTTATTTTGAACATTGAGTATGTTGTTCTCATGATTCTTCATTCTGTGCTTTGGACTATTTCACACAAATCTACCCTGGTTTTCCAAATGTCCTAAGTCACCATTCCTAAAAACTGGCACCAACATTCCAATATATTCACATGCCACAATTTGTTAGACATTCTGCAAGTGATGGACCTTCACTTTCTTTTCTCTTTCTTTCCTTCCCCTCCTCAATTATATATTTGGATAATCTCTGCTTCCCCCAAGGTAATTATCCTTGACAGAGAAAAGAGTAGCAAAATAAGAAATCAAAAGGTACATATTATCTCTCTTATAACTTATTATCTTCTTACCTGACTAAATTATACATCCTAACACATCCTAAAAAATTTAGTTCATTAAGGGGAAGAGAGATACCATCATTCCCATTTTACAGAAGTGTAAATTGAGCCAGAAGGGAGTACAATGACTTGTTTAGTGCTAAATAGAAAATAAGAGGCAGACTCAAAATGATATTAGTGATCATCTGACTCCATACCATTGCAGCACATTTTAGCCTCTCAAATTGACTCATTAGTGTATGTTTAGAATCCTGGACTTGGAATCAGAAGACCATACTTCTCATTAAAATAAGTGAATGTGGCCTGGGAGAAGAGCTGTCCCCAGAGTTATTCAGGACAGGAATCCTTTCTATTTAAACATCTCTTATAGCTCCAAACTCAAAGATTAGTTTGCTTGAGAGCTTGGTCCCTGTCATGTAGTTAGGTGTTAGAGCTAGGAATACTTCTTACTGAATGGAAAAGTAGCACAGGGCCCATGGTAAGAGTACTCATTCTGAAATAAACAGAAATTGTGGTTGAAATTTCAAGTCCAACACTTAATAAAAGTGTTACCTGAAACAAGGTATTTAATGCCTGTGTACATCAGTTTCCTCATATGTAAAATGGAGATAATTATTACTCATCTGATACATTTTCCTCCCAGTTCTATTGTGCACATGAAATGAGATAATGTATGTAAGGGGCTTTACCATCAATAAGTCACTATGAAAGTGTCTATAATCATATACATTTTTTATATTTAATTCATCCATCAAAGCAAGAAAAAAAAAAAGGTGAGTGAGTATATCCCATCAGGTGAAGGTAAGTAATAGGCATTTCACTGTATCAGTTTCAATCTCTTGGACTACAAGGAGTATCTTTCCATGCAGTAGTCCTAGTATTACATGAAAAGGCTATATACCAAGGTACAGGAATGTCAGAGGAAGGAAGGATCCATATGTAACAGAGGTAAAATTGGTAAGACATGACAAAATATTGTGTATGAGGGAAGGTGAATAATAATTTGAAAGAAAGGATAACATCTATGTTGTGAGTGCAGTTGACTGGTAAGAGGATTATTGTACTCTCAAAAATATTACTGGATTTAGGAGGAGGGCAGTGTCTGGGAGGAGAAAATAATGAGTTCAGTTTTTCACAAGATGATTTCATAATATCTATGGGGCATCCAGTTTGAGATACTCAATAAATGCCCAAATATGCAATTGGAGATGTAAGCCTGAAAGTCAGAAAAAAGGGATAGGAGTGGATAAGCAGATCAAACATCCAAAGGAATTGGAGAGTGGCAAATACTTTCCAGGTTTATAAATGAGGGAAGATAATTGGTTGGACTAATCATAGCTCATTGAACTTGAATGAATGGTGCAATTCTAGAAAATGTTAAAATCTTCATAGATAAAAATCTTGCTTAGACAAATTTGCTTAGTCAATTAGAACATGGCATAAAGCCCATGGCAGGGGGGTATATGGTAAATACCCTAAGGACAAAGTCAGTATTCAAAAGAATTTCACAGATAAGAACATTTGTTCAAATTAATTAGCCTTAACTTTACTAGAGATAAATGTGATGTCTTAAACTTGGTTTGCATAAAGAAAACAAACATTTCCAAAATGCAAGTTGGAGGCAAAGCCAAATCACAATATGATACCATGAATTTAAATATGCATAATATACAATACTAAGGGAAGGATAATAATGGCCCTTAATAGACCACAGACAGAATCTTGTGTTTGGTTTTTAATATCTTAATTTAAAAAAAAGGAATGTTAATAAAGTAGATAGAATTTGGACTAGAGAAAGCAGTACAGAGAAAGACCTCAGGTTCATTTTGTATAGTATTGTGACAGGTTGGAGGAACTGAGGATGCTTAGCTTAGTGAAAGAAAGGGTTAAACATTATGTACAGTACAATTCAATCCCAAAAGTCTGTATTAAACACATACTATGTGCAAAGATCTAAGTTAAGTATTTTAGAAACACAAATTTTAAAAGTCCTTACGCTCCCATAACTTTTTTTTTTGCAGGGTTTATATAAGGTTTTTGCACCATCCTATTTCTCCAGTCTTCTTATACCTTACTCTGTGCCACATACTCATCAATATCATGATAGTAACACCCTAAGCTTGGTTCTGGCCATTTTCTCTGGTTAGACACCATGCCAGGAATGTTCTTTCTCTCCTCTGTTCTACCTACTTCTTTCCCTGGCTTACTTTAAGTCTCAGCTAAAATTTCAGCTTCTAAAAGAAACCTTTTCAAATTCCTTTTAATTCCGTTACCTCCTCTTTGTTAATTATTTCTCATTTGTCCTTTATATAGCTTCTTTGTATAAATTTGATTGCATACTTTCTCCCTTATCAGATTGTAAAATCCTTGAAGACAAGGATTATATTTTGTGTCTTTTTGTATCCTCAGCACTTAACGCAATGCCTGACACATAGTCAGTGCTTAATAAATGTTGATTAGTGTAAAATATGCATATATCCATGTAATAGTCTGAAGTTATATACATTAAAATATTAAGAAAATATTATGATACTATTTGGGTCTCACATTTTTAATGATGTTAAGGAATCATGGGAGAAGAGATGTCAAGATAGACTGCATGTTAGTCAAAAGTGAAAACATGCAGAAGCATAAAAGAAGGAAGAAGTGTTTGCAGAAGTACAGGTAGGAAAAAATGACTTTAACATAGTTTTATGATGTGGAGGTAATTTGCAATAATCCAGTGAAGGTAAGGGGGGTGGATTTAAAAGTTTTTGTTGCCAAGTAGAAGGTTTTATATACAATTTAAGAGACAGTAAAAAGCCATTAAATATTCCAGAGATATAAAGAATTCTTTCAGTATTCAAAGGATTGAAACAGAATAGGGATAACATTATTCTTCTTCAATGTAAATAAGAAGCATAAGAATAATAAAATAAAAAACGAAAGGGAATGATTAAGACTTGATATATGAAAAATAATTATAAATTTCTCAAAATACAATGGTTTTGTGGGTGGTTATCTTTTGTAGATGGGTTGACACCTTTACTTAATGGGTGTCAAAACACATGTATGGATAAGTTATAATCTGTATCACATGATAACAAATGTTAGTAAAAATTGTGGATAGAAAACAATTGTTCTGATAATTTTTTGAGTTGAACACATTTCTTGTAGATGAGGGGTTAAGAAAAGATGCATTAAGGGGGCAGCTACATGGCACAGTGGATAGAGCACCAGCCCTGGATTCAGGAAGACCTGAGTACAAACCTGGCCTCAGATACTTGACACTTGCTACCTGTGTGACTCTGTGCAAGTCACTTCACCCCATTGCCTTGGTAAAAAAAAATATGTATTAAGCAAGGTCAACTTGACTGAGGATTTGAAGGAAGGCTAGGGTTTCGTGCAGCAGAGAACCTGGAAAAGCTCTCTGGGCAGTAAAAATAGGTTCAGCAAAGTTTGAGGAGCTGAAGAGTACCTGGCTTCTAAGATCAGAAAAAAAAAGTTAGGAGTTACAATTTTTTATTTCATTTCCTCAAAAAAACCTTATTACCCACATAAAGAATCATGGCTTCTTTTTTGATATTATCTTTTTGAGAAGATAAATGTTCAAATGAAATTTTATTTTTCTTGGTTCTTTTGAAATTTAGTCAATTCTTCCTACTTATCAATCATATGTACTGGGGAGTTCATTTTGAGCTTGTCACAATTATAGAATCATTGAAGTTTGAGTGGGAAGTGACCTTGAATTATAGAATAAAGAATATTTGCCTTTGGAATGGATCCCAGGAATAGAATATTATTATTCATTTATTTTCAGGCGTGTCCAACTCTTCATGACTCCATTTGGGTTTTTTTTTCAAAGATACTTGATTAAGGCAAATAGAGATTAAATGACTTGCCGTGGGTCAAACAGTTATTATCTGAGGCCAGATTTGAACTTAGGTCTTTCTGATTCCAGGTCCAGCACTCTATCCATTGAGTCATCTAGCTGCCTATATTAGAAATATAAAATAAAAAATTCAAACAAGCTTAGATTTGAAGAAAAAAGAACTGAAATGACCCAAAAGTAGTGATTATTTGGATCAAGATGTCATTGCAGAAGGTGACCATATAGAAAGTTGGGTCTAAATGGAACATTGCAGAATACTTAATCCAGTCTCCTTATTTTACAGAGGGCAATACCGAGTCCCAGAGGCAGGAAGTTGCTCATCTGTTCTAAAATGGAAGGAAGAAATGTCACAGATGTGCATGAATTCATTCTCTTGGGATTTTCTGATATTCCCAAATTCCAAGGCCTCCTTTTTGTGATTTTCTTGGTTATCTACCTGAGTATCATCATAGGAAATGCACTTATCATTGTAATTACAAAAGCTGATCCAGCTCTCCAAACTCCAATGTACTATTTTCTTAGAAACTTTTCCTTCTTAGAAATTTGTTACACATCGGTCACTCTCCCCAGAATGCTAATGAATCTTTGGACCCAGAAGGGAAATATTTCTTTGTTGGCCTGTGCTGCACAGGTTTGCTTAATTCTAGGCTTGGGAGGCAGTGAATGCTTCCTCCTTGCTGCAATGGCATATGACCGCTATGTGGCCATTTGTAAGCCCCTCTATTATTTGTTTATCATGAACCACAAGATCTGTGTTCAGCTGGTTATTGGGTCCTGGATCATTGGGACACCAGTTGTGTTAGGACAAACATACCAGATTTTTTCTCTACCCTTCTGTGGTCCTACCAAACTCAATCACATTTTCTGTGATATCTACCCGATACTGCAGGTGGCTTGTGGAGCTACCTCTATCAGTGAGATCTTTATCTATGCAGATGTGGTGCTATTTGGCATTGTTCCCTTTCTATTGATATGTGGATCCTACATCAAAATCATTGGTAGTATTTTGAAGCTGCCATCAGCAACAGGGAAATATAAAGCTTTTTCTACTTGTTCTTCTCATCTTATGGTAGTGGGCCTCTTCTTTGGTTCTGGCATCATTATCTATTTGCAACCCAAATCCACCCACTCATCAGTAACAGACAAAATTCTCTCTCTCTTCTATACCACTTTGACCCCATTATGTAATCCAATGATATATTGCCTGAGGAACAAGGATTTCATTATGACAATAAGAAAATTATTATCAAAACCTGCAAGAATTGGAAACAAATAGATTAATTTAGAGATCCTGGGTGCATATCCAGTTGTCTCGTAGATCCTGTGAAAGTAAACTTCTAATCCAATCACCAATACACCTTTGCAGACTTCAACATTCTCCCCTAACAATCTTAAATTCTTGGGATACTTCTTTCTGTTCTGAGCATGATATCAGATTCATCTTTGGGATGTCCAAAGGCAAATGACATAATATTTAATGTTTTACTGTTAAAAGCCTATCTTACCTCTCTGAGTAAAAGGATAAAGGGAGACAAACATTTGAATTATTCATATTGAGATACTTTTGCTGCTCTAACATACATAACATTGAGGCTACTGGGTGTTTCAGAGACTTAAATATGCTAATCAAGTTGTTAAAATGTTAATTTATATTATTAACCCAAATTTAAAGTTTCACCTATTATATATATATTTTTAATTTTACTGGTGACATTTTACATGATATAATTTATATCTCAGTACATAGAAACATACTCTGCCCCTGGTGAAATATCCCCCTTATATTTTTGGGGGGATGATAGGAGAAGAAAATATTAAAAAAAAAAGAATTAAGCAATAAACATTTACTGTGCTAAATGCTGAGGATAAAAATACAAACAAAAACAAAGACATTTCCTACCCTCAAGAAGCTTAAAATCTAATAGGGGAAAGAAACTCATAAAAGGAAGCTGAAATGTGAGATTTGGATGGTGAGAAGGGGCATGATGTCTATTCCCAAAGTAGTTCAAAAGTAGCTTAGCTTGTAGGATATGTTGACAACAATTGTACTGAGTCCTTTCTTTAACTAAAACTCCTCAGAGCCCATTGCCACGCTTTCCAATCAAAGGTCTAATTAGAGGGGAAGAGGGTATGAATGAGATGTGAGTATCTGATAAATCAGTCTTGCAGCTTAACAAAATTTCTCAATGATGAGTGATGGAGAATTCCAAAGAAATCCCAAAAAATTTAGCTGGTGGAAAATTAAAGGAAGCAATCAAATAAAGAAAGAAAGAAAGAAATGCTGAAATTGAACTTATAATCCATACTTATAATCTCACAATACTTAAGAGAAAGAAGTCTGACAAATCCCCTTATCTATACCTTCCAGTCAAGATTATTCATTACCATCACAAATTATTATTATTTTCATATGTTATTATTTAAATTTGTATTATCATAGTCACTTGATATACTGTTTACCTGGTTCTGTTTATTTTCTTCTCTATTAGCTAACATAAACTTTCCCACATCTCTGCATCTTTTTATAAATTTCCATATCAATGTACTATGTCATTATATTTTCATAACAACTTTTTCAGTCATTCCTATACTGATAGACATGTAACATATCCCCATGTGATTGACACAACAAATACTCTTGCTATGAATAGTCTGTTCCATATAGATTTTTCTTTCCATATTTCCCTTTCTTGGTTGCTGTGCCAAGCAGTAGTTATTCTGGACAAATGGGGAGGACATTTTAGTCAGATCATGATTTTCTTATAAGTTGTGACTACAAAGGAAGAAAACAGTAAATGATGATTTGAATTCAGGTCATCTATGGCTAAATCCATAATTTCCTTCTCAGAATTTCTTCCTTTAGCTAAGTTTATATTTTAACTCTGATTTCACAATTATGATTCATATTAATATCACATAAACCCAGTAACTTCTATTGGAAAACTTATTTCATGAGGAATGATTCACATTTTTCTATTATCAAATCTCTTTAAAAATAAATCATTCTAAGAATTATACTGTAGAAATATTTTGGAATTCTGGCTCATTCAGCTATTTTTTTTAAATCATCCATTGTATTTGTTATCTTTAAAGCTTGAAAACCTATATATGCTTGATACACCCATTTCTTCTATGCCCTCCTCTATGTTATAACTTTCTCTCTCATCATCAACTATTTCCATTCAATTTTTAAGCATACCCTACTTTAATAGAATCACGATAACATTAATTCCCTAAAAACAATGTCTGTGGGAGCCCTTTATTTCTTCTAATCTTTAAAATCCCATAGAAGGAAGGTAAATAGACTGTCTTCCACAATATTTTAGTACTATAATCCCACAAATACCTTACCCAATTTGAATTCAATCCATTTTAACTGCCAATTTTGTAAGCAGCATTGCTGTCATATTCCAACGTCAGGGTTGGTCATTCTATCATCTTCGGTATTTTAGCATGGAGCTCATTCAGTCTTCTAAACCCCAGCTCCTTCACATTTATTATCCATGAAGAATAAAATGTTTAAGTTAATGATCAGTTAACTCCATCATCATTTACTAGTCTACCTCAATGCAAACTGACTGGTCTACATCATTGGATGTGAATCACTCATTCATAGTCACAGATTGACATTTCTATACTTTATAATTCACATATCTATGTGCTTTACCTCCTCTGGATTGAAAGACTGACACAATTTCAAATTTGGAAGGGACATCAGTAGTCATTTAGTTCAATCCAGACTGTAGAATAATATATCATATACAGCTAACTGATGATCTTCTCAAACTTTGCTTGATGACCTTCAAGAAATGGGAACTCACCAGTCTTTAGAGAGCTCTTTCCAATTTGAATGCAGGTATCCCTTCCATATCATGACTTTCCCCATCCCAGTTCAGCATATTGAGGGTCAGCATAAGAAATTAAATGAGAATTTTGGGGAGTTTTGTGGAAGCTGCAGATGACATGCAAAGACCAGCAGATAACAGAAAAAAAGTTATTGTATAATATCAACATATTTTATCTTTTAATACTATAATAATTCAGATTTCTTCTCTGGTAAAAAAAAAGTGAGGGCCAAAAAATTTTACAGAGATTTTTCAGATGGCAGGTGCTCCACATTGCTAACTCCCCAAACATGGAAGAGATAGCTGGATTTCAATTGTTAACAAATTGTTGTTTTTCTCCTGTCATTTAAATGTGCTTTTTTCACCTTTCACCCATTCTTACTGCTCCTACTCACCATGTTCTCAAGAATAAATCTAATCTTTCTTTGAAATAACAATCTTTTGGGGCAGCTAGGTGGCTCAGTATTGGCCCTGAAGTCAGGATGACCTGAGTTCAAATCCGGCCACAGATCAAACACTTGACACTTACTAGCTGTGTGACCCTGGGCAAATCACCTAACCCCAACTGCCTAAAAAAGCAAAATAAGAAAAAAGAAAAAAGAAATAACAATCTTTCACAGGTTAAAAAAAAGTGAACATATTGCCCTGAGACTTCTCTTCTCCTAATTATGTGTGTAAACTTCTTTCAACTAACTCCACAGGGCTTATTCTTAAGACCATCACCATCTTGGATGCCCTCCTCTGGACAATCACCAACTGTTAACTAACCTCCATAAATTATGGATCCTAGAATGTAATGTAGAACTCCAGATGGGTTAGTACAAGGAAAGGATGCATTGGGACTATCACTTCCTCATTTCTTTGTTCTTGTAACCAGTCTCTTTTTTATTTTATTTATTTTATGTTTTATTGTTATTTTTTGCATGTAGTATCTTTGTCCATTATTTTTTTTTATTTTTAGTTTTCAGCACTCACTTGCACAAGATTCTGAGTTCAAAATTTTCTCCCCATCTCATCCCTCCATCAACCCCAAGGCAGCATGCATTCTGAATACCCTTTCCCCAAATCTGTCCTCCTTTCCATCTCCTCTCCTTCTTTTATCCCCTTCTTCTTCTATTTTCCTGTAGGGTAGGATAGATTTCTATGTCCCATTGCCTGTATACTTTCTTTCCCAGGTGCATGTGAAAACAATTTTTAACATTTGTATTTAAAACTTTGAGTTCCCAATTTTCACCCTTCCTCTTTTGCCAACCACCCTCATTGAGAAAGCAAACAACTTGATACAGGTTATACTTGTATACTCATGCGTCCATCTCTTAACCGGGTTCACAGTTACATAAACTCTTTGGGTGTCATTTGGTATTACTGGTATATTGAAATTTAGGTAAAACAATGTCCTTAGTTATGTTTTTTTTCCCCAGAACAAAATGATGGCTAGTGATTTCTTTATCACTTGTTACTTGAAAGCTATTTTCTTTGTATTCAAATCTAACACTTTATATTATTTTCAAATGAATTTCATTGCTGTGATGCCTTTGTAACCCAATTTTTATGTCTGATAAGACCCCTTGGGATTCTATTGCTCTTATCTTCTATGTCACATTCCCCTCCCATTTTTATATCATTTGCAAAATTTGTGAACATGTCATCTATGTATTTCTTGAAGTTACTGATAAAAAATGTTAAGCAGGAGAAAGCCAAACCCAAGTCTTTGGTGTATGTCACTTGATACCTAATATCAGGTTGATAGTTGATCATCACCAACTACTTTTTGAGTCTGATTTTTCATACAGTTCCAAATTCAAAAAAAGTGATAATATTCCTATTTCTCTATTTTCAAGGCAAGAATATTATGATACCTTTTTAGTAAAATATTTTTTAAAATCTAGGTAAACTACATCTTCAGCATTCCATTCATTAATTGTCTCAGTAAACCAGTTCAAAAAGAAAATGAGGGTACTTTGATAAGACTTGATCTTGATGAAGAACTAACAGCTCTTTGTAAGGATCATTTTCCTTTCTAAGTGTTCACGAAGTGGTACAAGCAAGATGTTTCCCTGAGCCAGAGATAGACTACCCAGGTCTCATATGCATACTTCAACAAACCCCTGACATTTTTGCCAGACTTAAGAACATATAAAAACTCCTATAATAGGGGGATAGAATCAAGATAGAGTGATGTCATATTTTTGTCAAGCTCTCCCAATACATCCTTTCTGCAACAATCTTAAAAAAGAGTGAATATTTTTTTCCAGGGAAGGGCAAAGTAGGAAGAATAAAAGAGGGTCTGCAGATACCAGGAGGTGGCCAGGAGATCAATGCACTCTCAGTAGGCTATAACAGCTCTAGCACCAGGAACAGTCCAGTTGCAAGAGATAACAATAGGATTTAACAGCTAGTTAGAAAGAGATCCAAGGAGATCCCAATAATA